AATCTTCCTCCTCCATCAACGCCAACTTTGTAGGTCGCAAAGTCTTCAGGATCCCCTACTGCACCAACAGATCCTTCACCCTCGTTTGCCATAATCCGAAGTTACCCTAGCCATCGAATTTCGCAACTTTGAATTTTGCTCCTGACATCTGATACTAATTATTGAAGAATCGAGAAAAGTAAACGAAATAACACAAGAATTTTAACGATGTTCGAAAATGTGCTTACGTCCTCGATGCCTAGGCGTCGCTATAAATTTTATTAAATGTCTCATTGGTTTAGGTTAAATCTCTATTTATGAGCCATACCTTACAAGAAAATTACATCAGTTAAAATTATCGATGTATGAGAGCAGTAAGCAACCATACATTGTTGTCCCTATAGTCCTTATATTTGTTACCAAAATTTTTATTCGTTAAATTCTATAAAATTTTATTTGATCCATTTTCGTTATAATTATTGCTCAATTTATCTCGTTACTCGTTAAGTTTATTAAAAAAAATTACATCAGTTAAAATTATCGATGTATGAGAGCAGTAAGCAACCATACATTGTTGTCCCTATAGTCCTATATGTATGATGTTTTCGAAGGCAACATTTATAGATATGTGTGTTTATTGAGTTAGTCGATCGTAATTAAATAATATTTAACTTATATTTGTTACCAAAAATTTGTTATTCGTTAAATTCTATAAAATTTTATTTGATCCATTTTCGTTATAATTATTGCTCAATTTATCTCGTTACTCGTTAAGTTTATTAAAAGAATTATCTTATAATTTTAACTATATATAAACTCAAAATTATTATTAGATTTTTTAATTGAATAATATTAAAAAATATAAAAGAATTAATGAATTACTCGTGCATTTATTGAGTTTCATTTAATCTTACTTAACTCAACTCATTAAGATCTCAAGTCAATTTCAAATTCAAGTCGAGACGATAAGGGAAATAAAATCCTAAAAAAATATATAACGAAATTCAAAACAATCGAGGAATACAGACTGCAGACAGAATTAAACTAATTACTTACAGTCCAAAGCAAGAATTAGAATGCGAATAAAGGTTCGGAGATGGAAAACGACAACAGATTACAACATGGGGACTGGTGTAATAAAATCATGAAAACAAAAGTGAAAAAGTGAAGTATTATCCTCTTCTTTTTCTTGAATCCTGAGAAGGACAGGTCAGATAAAAGTGGTCCCTATGAGAACACGTGGTTATAGCATGCTATGAGTTTGTGCATCCGACATGGGAGCTTTTATGTCCAACGTAATATATTATTACACGTCACTACAAATCATCTTCGTATTAATTTTACGGTTTGTTTTTTAATTTTATAACTATTATTTAAATATTACTCTTAAAAAATTTGTTATTAAAAATAAAATGTATCTTACTATTATATTTTTTTCCTCTTTAGTTATACGTTCATAAAGTATTACACTTGTTGTCATTTTATTAATAAAAGTATAAAATTACATCTATAACCATGGAAAAAAAGCATAAGTGATGTGTATGTTTCTTTCAATTTTTAAATTTAACTAATTAATAAACTTTTATTTTCTTATATAAGTTAATTTAATCCGTTATAATATCTAATGTTAGTTGTGTATATGTTTTTAACCTAATTTAAATAGTTTTATTATACATTTAGAAAATAATATTTAGAAATTATCAATCATTCGCCAACCAATGTTTTTAGATAAAAAATTTATTTATAGGAGTTTTAAGGAGTTCATATCCTCCGCACATAGATTTTCGAGTCTACTATAATGTATATACAAGACCCTTGACATATTCATATGATCTATATAACGAAATTCAAGATCTAACAATTAAATTTATTAAATCTGTTAATCTATAAATAGTCATAATTATCATATCTTTAACACTATCATATTAAAACCACTATAAACATACCACAACACGACCAATAAAAAGACTATAACATTCTACAACCTAGATATAATTTTTTTCTTCTTTCTTGTGACCAATTTTCTTTCATGTAAATACATTGATAAATGAATATCTTATCCCTTTATCAATCACGATTTTACATATAAATAAGAAGAGATATACTATCATTGACGAGATGTGAGCAACAAATTTAAACTCGTGTTGTAAAAATGTCTTGTCACATGACAATGCCATTACCCAATTGCTTAAACCATATGCTCCATAGGTGTGGGAGAGGTAGCACCCTAAATAGGTAGACTGGTAGCCCCATGAGACCCCATTTAGACACCCAAATTTTCATGTAACACTCCACATGCTCCATGTTTGGGATATGTGCCCTCTTAATCTTTGAAAGATGGAAATCAAAATCCCCAATTGTCTCTACCCTCATTTCCAACGCGGCGTAATATGATTCGCCCATAAGAAAACACTCTTACGCGGAAAAAAGTGTTAATAGTTATTAAATTATCAATTATTAAATTTTATTTTAATCGCACCGTATATGAAAAAAGAAAACATTATAAAATACAAGATAAATTATGTATTTAGTCATACATCTATTCTAAAAATTTAATTTGGTCACTTAATTTTTTTCTAAAATCATACATAATATATTTTTAGTTTTATTTTATTCATTTCTATTTGAAAACAAATAGAACTGTTGACATGATAAAAAAATTAAGTGATAACATGACATTATTTTATGGTAACATGTAAAGATTATCATTAATTTTTAATGATTAACAATTAAAATAAAACTAAAATATAATATTAAATATGATTAAAAATATTAGTTAAATGACTAAGATGATACTTAGAAAATAAGGGGTTAACTAAATAGTTAATTTATCCTAACATAAGTTAATTACTATACATATCCTAAAATATTTAGATTGGTCTTTACACTTTTAAATGTTTCAATTTTATCCCTAAATTATGACTATCATTTTAAATTAGTCCTTCAACTTCTAACTATCTCAATTTCATCCCCAAACTATGACTTTCATTCTAAATTAGTTCCCAAACTTTTGAACATTCTAATTTCATCCCAAGCTATACGTATATGCTAATCATATATCTTGTCAATAAAATTGTTAGGCCAATTATATTATTATATTTTTTTAAAAATAAAACTTATATTAAATTATGGTTGAAACTAATTACATATTTGGATGTATTTAGGGATAAATTAGAGTATTCAAAAGTTTAGAGACGAAATTAGAAAGAAGACATAGTTTAAGGATGAAATTAAATATTCAAGAGTTTAATGATTAATTTAAAATGAGAGCTATAATTTAACAATAAAATTAAAATATTTTTTAAGCAAAAATTCCGACACATCAGGCTTCTTGTGTCGGCCGTTACAGGCTCTAACCAACATCGGGACATCCCAAATCATCGAGATTGTTTATATTTTAACGGTCCAGATCGATTCTCTGGGTACTTACGGTGGGGGACTCGTGTCCATACGTCATGAATCTCATGGGTCATAATGGGTTTTGTGTAAAATTCATGTATTGGTCTTTGTACTATACCGAAAATCTCATTTTAGTCTCTTTACACTATTAAATAAGAACAACTTCCTTGCATAGAGACGAAATGACTATCCAGCTCAGTTGGTAGAACATAAGGTTCTTAATCTTGAGGTCGTGGGATCGAGTCCCATGGAGGGCATTTCATAATTTGGAGGTCTTCTACGAAGCTGCTCTCAACCTAGTGTTGGGGGTAACCTACTATCTAACATCCCCTTACCTCATTATATATGGAACAATGGACAACCATTTATTCCTTGCATAGAGACGAGCAAAATAATCAACTTCACAACAACTAACAGATAGAAAACCCTCTAATTGTTCTAATTTTTTTAATTAAACTATGTGTTATTATTTTTTTAAAATATGCAAAATTTAAATAAAATTGATGTAAATTTTAAAATTAAATTATTATTATATCAAAGCTCGACATTCGCTTATTTGTTAATAGAGGAGTAATTTGATTGTAATAAATTTTTGAAATTGGATGAATTATTTATAATTTAATTAATAATTTAATGATTTAATACATATTTTAACCTAAAATTAATAAAGTTTCAACATTTTACAAAAAATGACCATTTTATTTGTTCTTTTCCCACATTCAATAAGTGTTTTGTTCATTTTAAAAATATAAAGACCAAATTACTTTTTCCCTATATTATAAGGACAGGTTCAGTATTTTCACCTAACTTTTGCTAAGCACGGGTGAGAGCTTATGGCTCACGTGAAAGAACCTTCTACTGCTTGGCCTGAGTTGAGATGGAACTGAAATTTATTAATTGAGTGTAATCAAAATTATTAATTTTTTAATATTTATAAAGTAAAAAGTTAATATTTTAGATTGTAGAAATGTTAACTAATTAATATTTTAAGTTGTACTTAATTTTAAATATTATTTTTTTAATATTTTCGATTATGACTTTCTTTAATCTTAAATTAGACAACTGTAGGGTAAAACTACCTACTTCATACATTGAGAAATATTTATTATTTTATGTTGATTATATTAGAACAAACTATTAAATTTTTGGACGAGTTTAAAGATTTAAAGCATAATCAAATATGATCAAAGATTTGAATTACAATATTATTTTTTTTTTAAAGTTGATTTCAGTATAATCTTATATATTATTTAATTTATATTAATTAATAAATAAATTAGATATCAACGAATAAAAGAAAAGAAGACATAATAGCAAAATTCATCTAACGTTTGTTTGAACAATTACTATATTATTATTATTATGTATATTTAAGTGTCGATATGATACTGAGAAATAATTATCACGTTTAATATGAAAAGGGAATAAAATATAATTAAAACTTTTTTTTATTATATTTATGAATTGGGACAATTGATAATTAAGAACATATTGTGTACATGTATTTTATTGCTTATTTGCTTATGGTATACAATACTTATATACGTAACCAAGGTACGTATTATTTTATAAGTTACACAAATACCTTATTATACATTACAAGTCAGATACTAATTATCACGTTACCAGAATGGAACGACGCAACAATGGCTGCATAGCTCTTTCTCACCATCTTCCTCCCTTGGCTCTAAGCTTTTCCACGCATCAATGGTGGCCGATGTATCGAATATATAAACCATTGAAAGTGTTTTTAATGGTTCCTCAGCCTTTTTGTACCCTGCAAAGAAATACAGTTGTGTCCCGATCGGCGCCATTGTTAAGTAAAGTCGCTCCGTCGTGGAGATCGGCGGATTAAAACGAGATCCGTCGACTTCATCCCACAAGTTGAGTTTCCCTTCGTAAACCTCGATGTGACCTTTCCAAGGGATGAGGCAATCGCCGGAGCTGAACAGCTTGCCGTCCACGGCGACGATTTGGTTCGGCGGCACGTCCAGTTGCCACATTCCGACCTCCAGGTCCCATTTTTGTGTCCGTGCGTCGAACACCTCGGCGGAGCAACGCTGGGGCGAGAACGTCAGCATGTTTGGGTCGGAACCGGTTTCTTCGGCGAAACCGCCTACGACGTAGATTTTCCCTTGCCATGTCACGCCGACGCATTTGTATCTTAAAGTGCTCATGCATGGCAATGGAGTCCATTGTCCGTGAGCCGGATCATAGACCTCGGCCGACGACATTCCTCTAGGACTATGCAAACCGGACTTTCCTCCGGCGACATATATTTTATCGTCGCAAACACAACAAGCGAAATCGTATCTCGGCGTCCCCAACGGTGCACATTTCGACCATTGGTCCGACCGAACATTGTATCGTAATACTAAACTCGACACTTGGAAATCGACATGGAGAAACTCATCGGATTCACTCGAATTCCGATGATTTCCTCTGTTCCATAACCTCCCACCGATAATGTAAACCGATTCCCCTAGTGAAACCATTGCAAAACCTTTTAACACGTGATTTTCTAGGTCCGGAATGAAGCTGACATGGTTCCATGTATTGTCAGACGGATTATAACACTGTATACAATTAAAAACATTAGCATTATCCCCTGCTTCCTTAGGACAAAACCCGGCGAGGACTCGATAACGAGAACAGTCGAACTGAGGCGAAGACAGCGATGCCGGTCGCGGCTCGGAAGCTAGCGAACCCATATTGGACTGGTACGGGAGGGTGATAGGGCAAATGGGAAGATTAATGTAAGCATTAGAGGTAGATATAGGCAAAGAAAACATGGCGGATACCACGAGAATCGTCGAGTAATTAAGCATCGACTAAGAATTCAGCGTGGAAGATACGTATAATACAACAATGGGGAGATCAAATCTAGGGTTTTTCTTGTCCATGTCTTTTTCAGACACTTGATCCAATGTTTTTCTTTTGGCATGTTGTTGTATGTCTCACGTATATTCAAATATGGGAATTTAGCATCTACTTTTAATATACCTGATATCGTTCATAGGATTATAGCTTTGTTTATGCTAAAACCATTCAAAAGTTGGGTTAGGATAAAAATACATATTCAATTTGATCCATCATAAATACGTATAAAATATGTTTTTATTCGATAAAATAATAATTTGATTGGAAATACATAGATAGAGAGATATTATTATAATTATTCTTAAATATACAAGGGATAGCTATTGTCTCGGGTTAAGTTGAAGAATTTTTACTCTAAATTCAAACTATACCTTATTCTTGAAAAACCTGAATGGATTTTTTTTTTAAATATGATCATATAGGACTGAGTGGTCTCCTGCGGTCATACCTATCCAGAAATATGAATACAAAGTATAATAAATACAGGTAAAAAACAAACATATGCTTTGGAACCCACACTTAAAATAGTAAAAAAGAAGTGGAAAAAGGGAGCAAATCCATGTAAGATACTGCTGCGTGATATATACATGTGGAATCTCACACTTCTGCTCTCATTAAGCCAACGTAAAACTTCATTCTAGGCATTAGGTTTGCTTATCAAGAAATATCCTTTGCTTCCATGCCAATAAATGATACCAAAAATAAAAATAAAAATAATTTTACACATTAATGGCATGCTCCTCATAATACTTTTTTCCAAACAAAACTCTCTTATTGTATTTTTTTTATCTATACATTTTGAATCCGGGATCTCACTTTAAGGATATCGAATTCCTTACTACTCTATTCGTCAAGTACTGATTCATCTCATAATATCTTATATTCATAATAGGGAGTGCCTTTTATCTGGATCTTTTTTTGCCATCCATGTAAGTTAGGTTGTATTAGGGTTCCAAAAATATCATTTTGTTTGTTTTTCTAATGTATAATAATCGTTTTGCTCATTTTAAGGTATAAGGACCAAATGCAATCCACAGTATAATATAGACCTGAATAATACTTTTCCCCTTCTTTCTCTCTTACTTTCGGACGGAATTTTAGTATCCCAACGTAACGCTAAAATAAAAAAGCAAGTGTTACTGTTGAGAGTCTGCAAATGAACCTGCTGCAGTGCTTCTTTGACAGACCAAAAGAGATCACTTTGTTGAAGTCTCGACAGAGTCCATAGCCACCACCATTTTCATTCCTTTATCGTTCTTTTATTCTTGCTCAAAACACGGCTCATTGAGCGACAATGGTAGAATTTATTAAGTTCATGGGAAAGTTAACGAGTGAGTAGCTATGGCAAGAAGCATTGCAGAAGCATTTTCTGGAGAATGAAAGCAGCGGTTCAAGTTCCGGTATGATCCTTCGAGCCATGCTCTAAATTTCGACAATGGCTGTTGCGACCATTCGAGTGTTGGAATTGATCCGGCCGAGGCTGCTCGATTTCCGGTTGTTCAGGGTGCAAGAATACCATCTGGGTCTATGCTTTGGGTTAAGTAGTAACCCAATCTTCTGGGTGTTATGTTCTTTATTCATCTTCTATAGAAAACTAAAGGTAAACACCTTGTACCTGTGGTTTTCAATGGCTTGCATTTTGTCTTTCAAGTTCTTTTGCAGTCTCAGACAGATTTTTTCTTCAAATCTGATACGATTACTGCAATTCGAACTTCAAACTTGTTGAATACCGGTAAACATAATCCCGGATGAGGGGATAGTACAAAGGAACTGATCTCGAATTCGAAAAGAAGTAAAGACCAACCAAAGGCAACTTAAATTATTCTAAAATGGAAATAAAAACATCAATACATCATAACAAATGAAATCCAACAAATTCATAGCTAGAGTATGAGGTTACAAGCATATATAACTTGATTCCTTTCGGCTCTATCTCGGATCAATCCCAAGCAACTAGGTTTTTTCCATAGTGTCTTTCGAGCTTTTCAAACTGCGGGATCTTCGAGTGCGGTGTTCGATAAATCATTTATGCGAGGATAAGCAGCTTTCTGATCAAGTTGATTCTGTGCCCATAACAGCATCTTTAGCAAGCTTGGAAGCTTCGGGTCTGTAAATGATCAAGCAGGTTAAGCAAATTTTGTTAATTCTGGTAAACATTGAAAAAGCTATATCGAGTATAGACGACCAATACCGACAGACATTTGATGCATCATTTAACTTATCATCCAAAAAATAAATTCTCTAACCAAGTAGCCTAGAAAAATTGGTAGCAAGTATCTTGCTAAAACAATATCGTGAAATCGGAGCATGAAGGTCAATCCTCTTTACAGACAAGTATACTAATTTACAAAGAATCGGTGATCGATTACACAAAGTAAATAAATAAAGCACACAAAAGATAGCAGGCAGACCTTTTTCGTGACTCTGGCTGGTAAGAATGGCTGCATTAACCTCGCTCGCTGTCTTAAGGCGCTGTGATATGTCCAAGAGCTCTCCAACCGGGCAGTTGGAAACATCTTCAAAAGCCAGCAGTGAGACAGTCCTCTCCAACTCTTCCAAAAAGCTTTGCTGCAGATGAAAAAAATGTTTATATTAGAAAAATAGGCATGCATAAGGAAAGTTCTCATGCGCTGATGAAGCATAGTTACATTTTCTTCTCCCCTAGGTGCAAGCTCCTCCTGAGCAAATTCCAAGGCTTCTTCTACTTTTCCGTTCCGAATCAATTCTATCAATCTCTGCTGTTGGAGATGGAAAAAGAGTTGCGGGTTTGTATCCAATATCTGCAAAGAAATGAATTTCAAGAAGCGAAGATAGTTTGAAAAAATAGTATGCACTATTTTTCTTATACAGAAAGTATCAGAATAATATTCATATCTGAAACGAATCCTCTATTCCTATGAAGGATCTCCCAAAATTGCTTAACCACTACCAAATACGGGATTAGTCATTTCAGATTGAAATAGTTAGTGACGGACAATAAAGGTAAACAGCACCATTTAGAAGTACAGCAAGGTCCTAATAATGGATTTCATGACAGTTGACCTAGCTATGGCTAAAACAAGATATCATGGACATAAGATTCTCTAGCTCATTCTTAATAGTACAAACTCCCTTTCCCATTACACACTATTACTTCTTCCATTCCACCGATAAGAGCAATTTAGATTTTCATAGACTAGTGGAAGGAAAGAATTATAGTATTGATGAATCAATGATATAAAGCGGATCCCGTGGTCATTTGAGATCGTAAATGAATAGTTTAACATCATCACATTGTATCCAAGATCCTACCGCAGGATTCAAATCGTTAACTTTCTCAATAGCATCCTCAACGTTTCCACATTGTACAGCCTTTTTAACAGCCATGCGATCCGAGATTGTCGCAAGATCAATATCTGCACTTCCTCAATAAGGATAAAAAAACCTACTTTTAAGGATAAATAATATAGAACACACACTCAAAAAAAATAAGCAGTGGTTTTCTTAGTAGGATACGCTCGGTTCCAGATTCCATCCGGAATTTTTCGGCAGCTTCAACATAACCCTCGGTTACAAGGAAATTCATAACCAATTTATTCATGTCTTCTTTCCTGATCTTAACAGCATTCAATCTCTTCTCCCACTCTTCCCGTGTAATCACTTTCTTCGAGGTTGCCTACCGGTGAAAACATTGACAATTAAAAACATGAATAACAATAACAAACTAAAGTAAAATTTCTCTTTATCAAGCTTAAAGATTTCATTGCTTCACCGATGTCCAGATGGCAAATTAAAAATCGAATACAAAGAATCTTCGCTTATCGGCATCGCTTAACTTCGAAAAAACTTTTGAGCTATAAATTACAACTTCAAGTTCTTATCAGTGAAACAATTTGGAAACATAAATGCTTTCCCAGTCCCATAAACTACTACTTCAAAGCCTTCAAGCAAGATTCCAATTACAATCTATGATATCTTTCATTCAAACTTTAACACAGATTACATAGATAATTTAAAACAAGAAAATCCAGAATAACTAAAGTTGAAATTTTCTTTATCAAGATTGAAAATTACATTGATCCAGTAATATCCAAATGTAACTTTCAAATCCAATACAGAAAATCTTTGCATATTGATATGTATAGCTTTGAATTGACTTTTGAGCTACAAATTACAACTTCAAATTCTTAAACAAAGTAAACAATCAAATTATCCCTGATTATCAAATCAAAATTAATCATAATAATAAAAGAAAAATACCATTCTTTCTTCGATTTCAGCTAGTCGACGAAGCACAATCCAGAACAGTGACATCAGTGTTCTACTTTCACTCCCATTTGATTTTCCAAACCTTTAAAAATACCCAGAACTTTCACATTTAGTAAACAAAATAAACCCTAACTTGCAGAAATTAGGAAAAGAAAATACCTTGGAAATAACTTAGAATTTCAAGGATTATATATTTATATGAAAACAGATATTGATAATAAATTATGAAAAAAGGGGGTTTTTGAGTGTGGGAAGAATTCAATTGCTGCAATTCGTTATTTTCTTCTTGATTGCAGCGCCGGTTTATCATTGCTTCAGGTTGATTCTCGGATTTGGGTTTGTGAAGATGACTTGTTTATTGGGCTATGGTGGCAGAGTTGGGCTAGGAGACTCGGTCTCGACTCTAGTCTCTGGCTCAGTTCACTTCGGATTTTTTAGTATTGGGTAGCTTTTCGTTTCCTTAAAAGGCTTAGCTTTCCTTCCAAACTAGTGAATATCCCATTGCAACTACTCTTTTGTTTTTGAACTTTTAGCCTCTGATTACATGTCACGGATCGCAAATCGGGATCGAGATCGATGCGCATCAAGTTACCCAAGACGGCAGTCCTTTGAAGGATATTGGGCTTATCCAACCTATTCGAATTGGTCTTTCCCTCTGAGAACGTTGAAGAGTCCATGAACGTTGGTCATGACGAGAAAATCAAGGGTTAATTTCTAAAGAATATTACCTCAATTTCTTTCCAAAACCAATACAAACTCCCATATACGGAATGTAATAATAGATGTGATTTTAAGAAAATTGTATAAGATATGTTTTAATCTTAGTCGTCACTATAATTAAGAAAGACTTTGGATGAATTAAAGATCTTCCACACTTTATTTATTTAATTAGTTGTGAGGAATAGAATTAAACATTGACCGAGTCAAACAAGAAACAAAGAAGATGTTGAATGTTAATATCCAACAGGACCAGTGATAGTGAAAATATGCCCCCCAGGAAGCTCTATGTGGTCTCTGGCCCGAAGGCCATCCATCTCTATACCTATATCCCTATACTATAAGTATGAATTATCGGATATGAGTATGCATTTTACATAATTTTTCTAAGACTTTTTTTATGTATTTAAAAGACATTTGAAGATTATAATTTGTATCCATGTGTTTAACACATAATATATCCAAATGAAAGGAAGAATATGGTCCTATTAGGCTGTAATTGCACTCTTCAAAAGATTTAAGTAATATCATAAGAATACTTTCACTTGGTTGGCTAGATGCTCAAGGAATATTGCCAAAAGCTAATTTTGCTAGAATTATGTTAACTTTTATAGATATTGTGATTCAAATTTCGTTTAGTCTAGTTTGAAGAGTTTATTATGGTAAAATTTGTATCTTTTTTGGAATTTTAAAAGTTTAGTCCAGGGGTGGCTCTCCTAATTCAGGGCTAGGCATACCTAAGACTGAATTGAGATTTACTTAAGAATTTACAGATTATTCACTAAGAGTGATAGTGGTAGCATTCGAACTTGATTTTACAAGTTCAAATTCCTGAATCTCAACCACTTGTTGGCTATGGTATACAACTCGTTTAGTAGAAAAGAAAAAAAAGGATATGTATTTAAAGATTCTAAGATTAAGCATGTAACATAATAAGATAGAAGATACATTGAAAATTTATTATGTGCTACTCTTACAATCTCTCTTATAATTTACGTCAATATTTTTCCGATTTCTTGTCCACGCAAGTATATTCTTACTCTGTGATCTTATTCCATTAATCCCTTCCCATGTTAGGTAGGTCAAATAAGTGCTGCAAAAGCTCTATTCACTTTTGTTAGTGGCAGTAGAAACTTTCAAAAGCACAAAAAAGGAATACAACTGGAATTTATATTTCTTGCGTTCATAGGTATATAGGTATTGGCCTTATTGGCTCCTTAGTAGCATTTTATAGATAAATTAACCCATATTACTTTTAATCTGCTTCATTCAACTTAACTAATGATCATGCTTGTTACCTTGTTGAGAAGCATCTCAACCAATCAACATTCACAAAGTAGTTCAGATTCCATTCAATTAACACACACTTATCGTATAAGTTTATCCAGGAACGTTATCCAAGGTTAGAGATGAACACAAAATTTTATATTAGAAATGTGAAGTTATAAAATCTTTGGGGGTACAAAATCAGAAAATAAAAAAAAATACATAAATATATGCAAATTGTAATTTCTAGAAATACAGTTGCACTCCCAACACTCCTCTCGGTCCATCCTAATTCATGATAGTGTACTCTTATCATGAAAACGATAATGCTCCAGCCCCACTAGGATAAGAACAACCGAATGAAATCTGTGCATTTTGCATCAATCTTATGGTCAAACGAACGTGGCAAAGGAATAAATATATAATCAATCATTTACGTTGAAGATGTTACATGACAGATTCAAGATGAGGCTTATCAGAATCAGATTTCTGGTCCATTTGAATTTTATTACGTAGTATGTTCCACATTCCAGTTGTGTCTTCTCATGCTTCAGCATGGTCAGACAAACAATTGATTATCGATGTCGCCCACCATCTCCCATAGGCTCTTGTGTTTGCAGACGCTGAAATCTAGGTCAAAAGATACTAGATAATGAATGGTTAAGCACTTTTCCTACAAAAATAGAATCAAGTGAGAGGAACTATTGCATTGTTTGTATCATGTGAAAGAAGGAACAATAACACTACTGTGTTCGGAGAATGAGTATACTTCAAACACAGTTGTCGAACATACGTGTGCTTAAAGAAATGAAGATTTCGAATAACATAAAAATTATTATCTTTCTTAATTAAGCTTGTTGTTTTAATACATTTTAGATGGATTTGTTGTTGATTACTGAGGTCTATGTTTAGGGTTGTAAATGAACATGCGTACGATGAATTGTTCGTTAACTATTCATATAATATTTGTTTATTAAGCTAAATAAATGATAATAAATAAAAATTTTATGTTCATTTAATAAATAAATAAATACAAAAAAGTGTGTTCGGTTTATTTATATTTACAAACAAGTTTGTTTGAAAGCTCATTTATCGATTATTTATAAATTTGTTTATCCAATTTTCATTTTTTTTACATTTTAAATATTGGTGAAAGTATGAACTTAATTGAACACATGATGGATTTTGGAGTTTAAATTGTGAAGCCTAAGGAGCTTAAGGACTAGTTGGGTTATTTCACACTTTTTCTTTGACATGCAAATAGAAGGATAAAAACAAACAAACATATGAACTGTTCATGTACGTTAAACAAATATATTCGCAAATTTAAATGAGCAAAAGATGAATACCTTCAACAAAATAGACAAACGAACATGAACAAGAACCAAACATTAACATATTAAAAAAATAAACAAACGAAATAAACACAATCTTATTTGTTTGTGCCGAGTTCATTTACACTCCTATCCATGTTAGTTGGGCATAAGTATTAAGATAAGATCTTTGATAATCATATCTCTATATTTAAGTATCGAACATGAATACTTTACGAAAATGAAGAGTCCGAATAATATAGATTGAGATAAGTATTTAAGGAATAATTTATATTCATGATTAGGGATCGGCATGGGTCGGGTTGAGTTAGATTTTCAGTCGACTCGACCCGACCCAAAAATTAGATATCCTCCACACTATCTGATCCAACTTAAAAAATATACACCCTCTACTCGACCCGTACTCGACCTACTTTTGAGATAAAATCCGAATCCGACCCTACCCGACCCGAAATAATATATTTATTTAAAAATATTATTTTTATTCAATAAAAATAGGGATTTAATTGGAAAAAATATAGAAGGGTATTATTTCAATTATCCCTAAATATATATGGTACAATTATATTTTTTTCGGATCGGGTATTTTTTTCCATAAACCGAATCCGACCCGAACATAACATCTAATAAACACGATCTGACTTGACCGAATTTTTTTAAAAAAATCAGAACTGATCAAATCAGATCGGATTGAAACCCGTCGAGTTTGAGTCTCGAACCCATCCCTATCTATTCGTGATTACTGGGAGAGGATCAATACCAATGTGAATGACCAAAAGGAGTTTTAGTAGTAAAGGGATCAGGTAAAAATCCTTTATTTGGCCAATATAAGTTAGGTTAAAAGAGTTGCAGTTTATGAATCAAAAGAAGACGTGTCATTCTTCTATTTGCGTGCCATTTCTTGGTGCAAAGAACATGATGAGCACTAGAGGATGAAAGCTTTTGCATTTATGATGCACGTCAATACAACAAGTGAAGCAGGAAGAGATTTAGGGCTATTTTTTTAAAGGGTGTATTTGTCATATTAGAGTGGGATAGATCAGCATCACACAACTACCTATTATTTGTTCACGTTCCATTTATACTTTCGGAAATAGTGCATAAAACTATTCTGGGAAACTTTGTTCAGTTCTATCTTTGATGCTGTCACGACCCAAATTCTATCGTATGTTAAAGTTTTGTGATCCGAATTTTAATTTTGGTTCCGTCCGAAAACTCGCGGTATGTTGAACGTTATGGGATGTTTCCCATCACATTATTCAACGAATTCTAAAGTTGGGATCCAGGTCATTTGTTCAACAGCCTAATCAATATTTTCCCTTCACCACCTGGGGATTCAAGGGTCACAAACGCACAAGGTTCGCCACAAAACTCCATCTTTCAACCTTGTGATGATGAGATACTCACAAACAGTTATCTAAACCACTAGTATCGAATATGTATGCCACGATGCATGTCTTTTCTTGTGTATTGGCTTGATGTTTTTTTGACAAGATAAGTCATCAATTAGGCAGTCAATGCCATACCACTCGAGGGGTATTTTTTTTCTTTTCTTGGGAAATCCGGATCGATCTGGGTCGTACATCTAGTTGTGGTTAGTTAGTTTCTCAAGCAAGGATTTTCTACATACACAAGAATTCAACTTAAAACCTGCTTAAACGATATCAAACTGCTTATCACTTGAAACAATCTTTGTAATGTTTTTAAGTCTATCATCAGATCTGTACATGCAAACCAGAGCTTATTAAATGTGACAAGCATGGCAGAAGGAACAGAACTCTAGGCATGCTTTCCTAGGTCAAACTTTTATGTTCAAAGTTTGAAGCTGCACAGTTGAATTTCCCATCATTTTGAGCATTATCGTAGACAGTGGCACAAAAGGATGTTGAAGGTTGAATATCACCGTGAAAATGTTC